AAATGTAAATCATGCGGGAAAGATGGACATTTTGCCGAAGTTTGCAGATCCAAACCAAACAAGGAAAGAGACCGCAAACCAATACGATCTATAAGGCGAGTGGACGCTGACACATATTCGAGTAGTGAGTCCAGCCAAGACACCGACCAAGCGAAATACGTATTCGGTATACGCACGGAAACTATTCACGCAACCAGGGCAAAGTTTCCAACAGCTGACATCACAATTCACGGTAAGGAAATTAAATTCTTGATTGATACTGGTGCAGCGATCAACATAATGGATGAAAGTGACTTTGAAAAGCTTAACGGGAAAGTCAAGTTGAGACGGACTTATACAAAAGTATTTCCATACAAGAGTCAATATCCAATCGAAACCCTAGGCGAATTCCGGACAGACATCAAATGTAAAACGAATAATGGAAGAAAATCGCTATCGAATATATTAATTCATGTCGTCAAGCGCAATGGTAATTTCGGTGAATCGCTACTAAGTTTTCAGACAGCAGAAGATTTGGGACTCGTACAAATAATTAAACAAGTCATGGGACAGACCGCAACAGACAAGCTAGTAAGCGAATACAATGATTTATTCACAGGCCTAGGCAAAATGACAGATTTCCAAGTAAAGCTACACATAGACGAGACTGTTCAGCCCGTAGCCCAACCGCATCGTCGCATTCCGTTTCATATTCGCAAAAAAGTCGAAAAGAAAATTGCAGAAATGGAAGCCGCCGACATAATCGAAAAGGTCGACGAAGCAACACCAACACCTGTGCATCTATTTTGGGTTTTGTGCATTTTTCTGTTTTCTTAATTCTCGTGACATATTCTTACAGTTGTCCACTTTTTTAAGCGAAATATACATATTGTTCTATAATGATTTTGCTACTAGTATGGATATGTAAAGAAATAAAAAACACTGATTGATTTTAATAGAATTGTCAGAAAGAAAGTTTAGGTTTATTGTTTTTTCTGTAATAATACACGTTTGCCATTATACTGTGTTTTC